TCTTATCCAGCTTTTGAGGTATCAGTTCAGCTAGTAGGAGGTCCTGATAGGGGAAGGAGCAAAGAGGGGAACTGTTGCCAGTCTCTCCCAATTATAACCTTCCAGGGAAGGCATTTTGTTATGCCAACCCAAATTTTTGCTTCGTGATCGCACACCTTCAGTTGTACCCAGGCCATGGGGTAGGAGTGGACATCCCCATGCACACACATCACCTTCAAGGGGCGGTCATAGTGGAGGGTGCTACAGTTGAGCAGGGACTCTCGAACAAGTGTTTGGGAGCACCCTGACTCCACCAGCTCAGGCAGAGTGCACCCCCCCACACACACACAGTGACTTGAGCCACATAGGCCTTATATTGCTGGTCGAGCCTAGGCTCAGAGCTGCTACATGGTTCGGAGACCCTATGGTCTAAGGAGTCATGTTCCATGACAGGACAAGATTGGCTGAAGCGTCCTAGCCTCCCACAGCAAATTCATACCAGTAGGTCACTAATAGGGTCTGGCTGACCCCTTGTCTTCAGGGCTTCTGGGGTGCAGTTCAGGGACAGGAGGGCAGACATCCATTGTGATGGGTGCACCCGGGGCTGGGTCCAGAGGAACTTCCCTCCTGGTCAGTTCAGGTCTCTTGGGTGCCCCCTTCAGAACCAGAGTTCTTCAGACCCTGGGCCTGCCAGTTGTCAGGCCTTGGCGGGGTATACCAGGCCAGACAGTAAGCAAATAGTCCTCCATAATCTGGACCACTGTGGCAAGTGAGTTGGGGCTATGATGCTGACCTCATGTTTGAGCTGACATTGGTAATATGTTTAGCTACTGATCTAAGATTATCACGTCTATGATCTCCGCAGGCAAACTCTGGATGGAAAAAGCTCTGAGAGGAACCTGCACCGGTAGGTTTCTGGGGATACTCCCAGACAGTCGAGTATGGCAGCCTTCACTGTCCAGGAATCTCTTCATCATCCAGGGTCTGGTAAGCTGCCTGAGCTTCCCTGGGCAGGAATGAGGCCAGGCTAGTGGCCCAGGCATCTTTATCCCAAGCAGCAGTTGTGGCTACCACTCAATGGTGACTAAGTAGGCCTCCGGATCATCATGCAGCCCCAGCTTGCCCTGTGGTATCCCTGTCCGAGAGTTCAACTTCTTTGAGGAGGCTGAACTAGTTAGTTGCTGGAACAATGCCTCCTGGAATTGCTGCTCCTGGAGCTGAAGCACCTCCAGGAGTGCAGCCTGCTGCTGTTGAGCAGTCTGCTGCTCCTCATATTGTGTTTCAACTAGTGTCCTCTGGGTTTCAGTAGAACAGTGAGACTGCTGAGCCAGCAGTCTTACCAACTCCTCCATTGTCCCCTTGTTTCGGGGTTGGTCCCAAATCCACAGTCTTAGAACCAATGTAGTGGGGTGCACTCACCTCTCATGGGCACCCCCTTGGCTGAGTGCATGTGCCTGCACACACACTTTCAAATTGTCCCTGCTCTGGCATAGAGCAGTGACCCAGGGCTCCCGCCCTGGAGACAATGTCTTCGCCCTCTTAGGCTTCCTGGCTACAGCTGTCGAGCTGGGCCACTATAGTTCAGTTCTCCCTCTGGGGTGCCTCAATATCGAGGCCACTTCACCCCAGTGGCTAATGGGGGTGGGGAAGACCCAAGCCCACCCACTATTCTGGGTCCCAGCCAGTGTTACCTCTAATTTTTCCCACCCATGTGCGGAATGAATTTTGTTATGTGCACCGATATGGAGGTGATATGTGACACATCACCTTCATATTGATGTACATAACAAAATTCATGTGGTGGGGTGTGGCTGAGGGGTTCGAAGTATGGGAGGGGACTCAGGACTGGGGCAGAGGATTGGGATACAGGGGGGTGAGGGCTATGGCTGGGGATGCAGGCTCTGAGGTGGGGCCAGGGATAAAAGGTTGAGGGTGCAGGCTGCCCAAAAGAGATAGGACACCCCCCCCTCAGGCGTCTCCCCCTGCAACAGCATCTGGGCTGGTAGGGAGGGGTGCCTCTCCCCACCATGGCAGCTCCAGTAGGGCTGGGCTAGGCCAGGGGAGGCTCCTCTCCCTGGCTGCTTCTGCAGGCGTGGTCTGGTCTGGTCTGGGATACCTAAGCGCCTCTCCCCAGCTGCTCTGGAGGGACTGGACCAGGCTGGGGGACCTGCACAGCCCTAAATAGCATGTGCAGGTCCCCCAGCCTGGTCCAGTCCCTCCAGAGCAGCTGGGGAGAGGTGCTTAGGTACCCCAGACCAGACCAGACCACGCCTGCAGAACCTAGGTCCCAGAACCCAGAACGCCTGCAGAACCTAGGTCCCAGCCCAGGGACCCTGTAGATAGCAGCTCTTTGCTGTGTCCCTTTAACTATGTCACATAGCTTCTCTAATTTCCTGGGCCACCTCCCCACAGCCCTGAGCCATGTTCACCCTTACCTCAGGGCCTTGTCCCAGTGGAATCCCAGCAATCAGCTCAGGGCTCCTTCTCACTCTCCCCAGCTTCTAGCAGCACTACCCTGTCCAAGGTTCCGTAGCTCTGTCAGTCAGCCACACATCATCCACAATCCTACAGCTCCAGCAAGAAACTGAACTTTCTCTGGCCCTGCCACTCTTCTTATACTAGGCTGCTGGGCCCTGATTGGCCGTGTCCTACACAGCCACTCTAGGCAGCTTGGAGGACACTCCCCACTGCCTCTTTTTGGGGCACGGTATGGCAGGGTCACGAGGCCTCCAGCAGGGGGTATCAGAGGATCTGGTATACCCTGTCACAGGGTTATTAAATTGGACCAACCTAAACTCCCTCCAGCCTCTCAATTTTATGTGGTTGTGGTGCAGATCTTTTTGCAACACATAGGCCATATTGACAACTTGCCAAATGTCTTTGAAGGACCAAAGCAACAGATTTACACAAATATCCATGAAACTTCTGCTTGTTTCTCTCCTGTTTTCCCTTTCTATTCCCTTTTCCCTCCATCCATTTGCCAGTTTATTTCCTCCATGTATGTTTCTCTCTTCCCCCTTCTTAGTTTCTTTCCACCTTTTCATTAGATTTTTTTCTTCCCTCTTCTTTTTTCTGTACCCAGCCTCCAAAGCTGCTTTTTTTTTATTCCATTCTTCAGTCTCCCATTGATTACTTTTTCCCTGAAGCAAGGTAGAATTAGGAAAGGAATTATGACTGGGGGTGTCCTGCTACTCACTACCTATTAGATCTCACCTTGTGTAAAGTCTCAGGGTGAGATTAAGTATCAGGGAGTATCTTTGTTAGTCTGTATCCACAAAAACAACAAGGAGTCTGGTGGCACCTTAAAGACTATCAGATTTATTTGGGCATAAGCTTTCGTGGGTAAAACACCACTTCTTCAGATGCATGGAGGAAAAATTACAGATGCAGGCATTATATACCAATGCATGAAGGGAAGGGAGTTACCTCACAAGTGGAGAACCAGTGTTGACAGGGCCAATTTGATCAGGGTGGATAAAGACCACTCCCAATAATAGATGAGGAGGTGTCAATTCCAGGAGAGGCAAAGCTGCTTTTGTAATGAGCCAGCCACTCCCAGTCCCTATTCAAGCCCAAATTAATGATGTTAAATTTGCAAATGAATTTTAGTTCTGCTGTTTCTCTTTGAAGTCTGTTTCTGAAGGTTTTTTTGTTCAAGTATGGCTACTTTTAAATCTGTTATAGAATGTCCAGGGAGATTGAAGTGTTCTCCTACTGGCTTTTGTATGGTACCATTCCTGATGTCCGATTTGTGTCCATTTATTCTTTTACGTAGGGACTGTCCGGTTTGACCAATGTACATGGCAGAGGGGCATTGCTGGCACATGATGGCATATATCACATTAGTATATGTGCAGGTGAATGAGCCTCTGATGGTGTGGCTAATGTGGTTGGGTCCTCTGATGGTGCCACTAGAGTAGATATGGGACAGAGTAGGCAACGAGGGATTGGTTCCTGGGTTAGTGTTTCTGTGGTATGTAGTTGCTGGTGAGTATTTGCTTCAGGATTGGGGCTGTCTGTAAGCGAGGACTGCCTCCCAAGGTCTGTGAGAGTGAGGGATCGTTTTCCAGGATAGGTTGAAGATCGTTGATAATGTGCTGGAGAGGTTTTAGCTGGGGGCTGTATGTGATGGCCAGTAGTGTTCTGTTATTTTCCTTGGTGGTCCCGTCTTCTAGTAGGTGACTTCTTGGTACCCGTCTCGCTCTGTCAATCTGTTTCCTCACTTCCCCAGGTGGGTATTATAGTTTTAAGAATGCTTGATAAAGATCTTGTGGGTGTTTGGAGAAAATTCGATTGTATCTTAGGGCTTGGCTGTGGACAATGGATTGTGTGATGTGTCCTGGATGGAAGCTGGAGGCATGTAGGTAAGTATAGAGGTCAGTAGGTTTTCAGTATAGGGTGGTATGTGACCATCACTTATTTTCACTGTAGTGTCCAGGAAATGGATCTCTTGTGTGGACTGGTCCAGGCTGAGTTTGATGGTGGGGTGGAAATTGTTGAAATCCTGGTGGAATTCTTCAAGGGCCTCCTTCCCGTGGGTTCATGACATGGAGTCATGGGAAGGAGGCCCTGGAAGAATTCCACCTGTGACAGATTGTAACCCCCTTCTGGATGAAACCTGACGTACTGGGATTTCACTGAGCCTGTCTGCTCCACTAGCCTGGGCTCCCTCTCCCTGTTTTGCTGAATTAGGCTCTCCGGCCTCTGGCAGTGCGCACGCATGCACACACACAGGAAGGGATGCGCCAACTATAGAATCACACAGAGTCTGCAAATAGCTCTCTATGAGAAGACTCAGCTAGAAAATCGCCCAGCACTCAAATGCAGCTCCCCTCTGGAAAGCATTCTCAAAATAACATTGTCTTCCACTGTAGAAAAATCTATAACATGTAAGCTCATAAATTTGCCCCTTCCCTCAATGTGGAGGAAGATAAGCACAACTTCTTTCCCCTCAGTTAGAAATTGTACCAACTGGGTTTAATAATAAACAAAAACAAGTTTATTAACTATAAAAGGCGGATTTTAAGTGATTATAAGGGATAGCAAACAGAACAAGGAGATTACCAAGCAAATAAAGCAAAACACGCATACTAAGCTTAAGATCTTAAAGAAACAGGTTTTAAGAAGTAATTTCTCACCCTTGTTTTAGGAAAGTTGCAGAGTTTCTGTAGCTTAGAGTTCCAGTTATTTCTTTTTACATACTAGACTCCTGTCTTAGTCTGGACTCAGCCCTTGCCTTTCCCACCACCCAGTTCCTTTGTTCTTCCAGGTACTTTCAGCAGTCTTTCTTCCTGATCAGGAAAGCAATGGAGAAGAGTCCTATTTGCCTTACTCCCCAGCCTTAAATAAGATTTACATAAGGTGGGAATCTTTTGTTTCCCGGTCTTGACCTCCCCCTACATTTAGTGGGAAATTACTTAGAAGTCCATGATGGTGTTTGTTTCCAGGTGACAGGACCACCTGACCTAGTAGTGTCACAGCCACATCCCAGGACACTTCTCAGGAAGGAGAGAAATTAGTATCTTCAAAGTCTTATTGTTTCTTCCTAATGGTCCATCAAGGCTGATGGCCTGTTGTCTGATCGGTGTCTCTGAAATACAGACACAGTTGTAATTGTTACATAGTTAATATTCCTAACTCCAGATACAGAAATGATATATGCATACAAATTGGACAATCACATTCAGTAAATCATAACCTTTCCAATGATACCTTATATCTTGCATAAAATATATCTTAGTTATGCCATATCCATCACAGCACCATCCTAATGTACCTCCCTTTGCCAGGGACAGGGCAGCCTACAACTGTTTCACACTGTGCTTCTGCTGGGGCAATTCTTCCCAGTTAATGGGCTTTTAAGGTCCCTATAAAATCCACCCCCAAATCCATTTCCTAATCTTTAATGCTTAGTGCCATAAATACATATAGTGCTTTGCGAAAATAAAAAGACAGGCGGGGATGCTTAGGAAGAGTTTTAACATGCAACTCAACATACATATATGACTTGAAGTGGGAAACAAGCGATACCAACATATTAATATATTGAACTATACCTAAGAGGTTAAATGTAATAAATATTGCTGTGATAAGTATGATCTCCCTTGTAAATAATCAGTCTCATATATTGCAGCACCACATGCAGCCTCAGAGCAGTAGCAAGTAAACTTGGTTTGAATGTGGCTTTGAATAGCTGCAGCGTTTCTGTTTTGATGAGTGGTACTCTGAATAATACTCCAGTCTGAAGTATACAACTTTGAATAAATACAGTTTGTTGCAGCTTTTAATGGACACAACTATGTAGTCACAGCCTCAGAAGATGATGCTATTCACGGCTTTGTATTCCTGGACTGCAGTTGTTTATAAAGGCAGCAGGCTTCTGGTATTTTGTTTCTCTGGAGACCAGGAAGCCTCAGGCCATATGTTCTGCTCCTAGGAAAGCATGGTTCCCTTCTTCACTCTCCTCCTTAAACTACTGTTTTCTGTCATTGTGTGTGCTGGTGTCCCACCCAAGCCCTGGCTGCATTTCAGTAGTGGGTGATGTGATCACTGCTATAGTTTCTATATCAGTTTATTTAGTTTGTATAATTCTGTAGAAATCTGTTAAAGTGAAAGTAGCTATCAAAATGTATGTTTTGCTGTACACTTCAGTCCTCTGTGTCAGTAAACAACTAGGGTTTACACATGCATTATAAGACACTGCTAAATAAATGTATATAGAAATGATGGTAGATGTGTAGGAGTCTAGAATAGTGAAATGTTAGCATAGTGATAGTCTATCATTATGAATTCTTATTTTCAGATCACATATAATTTGCTATAGAAATGTCTTCCTCACTGAAAAAGTGCCATGTTTGGTGCCAATTTGGGAGAAAATATAGAAATATGGGAATGACATACTGGATCAAATTGATTATCTCTCCAGACCAGTGTCCTCTCTCAGAAGGTAACCAGTACCAGGTGCTTCAGCAGAAGGTGCAAGAATCCTCATAGTGAAAAATTATAAAATCTCACTGTGTGAGAGGTTTCTTCCTAACCCTAAGCAAAAAAGTTGGCTTATGACCTGAAGCCCCAGGATTATATACCTTTATTTATTTATCTAATGTTAATGTGGACATTCTAATTATCCATAACAATGTCTAATGTTTTTAATCTTGCTGTTAGTTCCTAAGATTAACTACATAATATGAGTTCAAGTTATGCAGTTGATAATCCACCATCTAGGCCAGCAGGAGCTGGGAGTGCCTTGATACACACTGGGGGCTTGGCCCTGCCCCTCCTGTAGTCAGTGCAAGCCTTACCATTTACTTCAATGGGAGCAGGTCTGTAAAGATGTCTGGGCCTTCATGTGGAAGGGAATGTGCTTCATTTGCCTTCACCAGAGGGTCTGTGGATACAGGAAGCCTGAGTGTGTGGGAAGAAGAAAATAGATAAGGGGATATCAGTGGATCTCCCGCCCCCAGCACCAACAATAAGAGAGGGATAGGTCAGAGTGTGCATAAAAACTGATTTGAAAGCCATTACAAAAATTCATTTGTTCATCCATAGATAAGCCTGTAGTCCCTTTTATTTCTTTCCCTAGCCATAACAGCAGTTTTCATGATGGTTTGTTTTCTCTCCCTCATGACTGCCTAGCTGTCAGATGAACAATTACATTGTTTACTGGAGTCCATTATTACCCCATTGTCTCTCTGTGCTGACCTGCAATTATCTACCAACCACAGCAGCAGTGAGGAACACCCAAAATGAGACTTTTGAAACTGGCCTGATCCACAGTTAACAGCTAGAAACAGAAATCCCATAGCAGAAAAAACAACCAACTGCTTCCTATCTCACAGGAAGAAAAATAAAACCCAAATGCCAGGAGCTTGTGCCACTAACAGGAACAAGAAGCTAATGTGCATAATAATGAATGCTTAATTCCTTCCTCATTGTCTTTCAAAGAAGCTGAGAACAAAAGTAGCTTTATATCTGTCAAGCACATTACAGAAAGCAGTAACAGCAGCCTGGTATTATCCTCTCCTCAAGAGATTTAACTAGTAAATTGGCCACTAGAAAGGCTAGATTTTTGGAAGACAGGAGGATAGAAAATAGCAGACTAATGTTAAACCATTAGTAAAAAATAAAAGTGGTATTGTTTAATGAGGGACATCAATGATTGCCACCATTTAATAGCTGGGGTTATTCCATATAGATAAGAACACTTACCACTGTATATTTTAAAGAGTTAAAGCACAGACAGGTCTCTTATATTTATTGAAGTTGGGATTTGTTATAAAGACCTTATCAATTGAAGGAAAGTTGGCAATGCTTTCTTGACAATGCCATTATATGTGTTTGTATTTTCTTTTGCTGAGCCCATTATGAATTTTGATGATGCCTCAAACCCGATTCAGTGCTGTTTATTAATTGAGCTGGGAATACCTTTGTTCCCAGTGCAGCAGATATCTAGCTCATCAGCATTAATTATATACTTATTTTAAGTAGGATTTAACTGTCACTGCTCATTTTAAATAGCTGCTTCTCTAATGTATTGTATTCAGTGGTTGCACTTAAGTTTCTTTCATTTAAAAAAAAATTCCCAGCTGGAGAAATATTTCCTGTACTTAGAATGAGAAAAACTGATCAAAGAGTTTCTCTTTCAAAACAGCAGAAACTTTTTATGCAATCACTGTATATGTAAATAAAGAAAATATTGCAGTAGTATTCTTTTCTACAACTAAGGACAACCAATGAACAGATTCAACAAAATCTTTTGCTTTTAAATTAAAATTCATTCCTTCCACCTAGAATCCGTTAACTAACCACCTTGACTTTAAGGCCTACCATTTTATAAGCAGAGAGCATAATGATACCTAGAGTTCAAGTGTTTCTGTTCTAAAGGGCTGCATCATCAAGGTGACTACTGAATGGTCATGGTATTGGTGCACTAAATAGTCAGGATATTGCAAGCAGTTTGTCATGTACATCTTGAGTTATAGTATATGGAACTAAAGTAAGAGTGGATCAAGTAAAACTGGAAACAAGCTCCATTGGAATTCTTCAGACTTTGGTTGTGGGAATAATCCCTGCAGATTTCTATTGTCTCCATCTGTGGTTCCATTTACCCTAATAGAACTACTGCCCCAAATTAGGAGCCCCATCTCAAGTTTCATCTATGCTAATGTGAAGGATGAACAACAAGTAATCTGGAGAGTGTGCCAATTGGTTATATCTGCCTTTCGATCAGGCCACTAGTTGGCAGACTACAGTCTAATATTGATTTATGTAAGTAGCTATTTCCTCAGCCCTGAGTACCTTCTCTTTGGGGAGTTCTGACTAGTGATGTTACAGATGTGGATACATTTTCATTCTTTAAATCAAAACTAAAGACAATTTATCTTTGCTGTAAAACTCTAACTACACTCAGTAGACTATTATTGAATTATTACACTGCTTTGTTACAGCCCCTTGATGTCTTCTCTGAGAAAATATTATCTTCATTGAAGTTGTTAGTAGTTGATGAAAACCCAAACCTTTGCATTAATGGAAATAAGTATTTTAGAAATCTTTAGCAGCCTAACATTAAGTATTTATCTCTGCAACATACCTATCCACCCATAACAAATGCTCTGAACGCCATATTAGCTAGACACCATATACATACATTAGGAAACACCAATCTATCATTAACATTAAAATCTCTCCCCCTCCATCATTTCAAATAACTTCTTGAGTTAAATAAGCCTCCAAGACTGGCATTACAGGGGGAATTATGCTGGTCTCCATTCTAGTTTTATTATAGGGTTTGTTCAAGGCAAATCTCGACTTTTAGGTTGTTCATGTTATTGTGTGTGTGTCTGTGTAAATAACATTCAGGTAACTACTCTACTTTTATTTTCTTTCCCCAAGTTTCTTTGAGGTGTTTATTGTACTTCCATGACTGCACAATCCTCTTTGTGGACTCTATGCTAGGGGAAATGGGTATTCGGATTTGCAGAAAGAGGTTATGGGAATAGTGACTTCATTTCCAAGAGCATCCATCCCCACTCATTGGATTGCACCACAAAGTAAATATGTAGAACTCTTCTGCAACTTCTTTCCAAGACTACTCTAAGGATGGTCTAGCCATAGGAGAGACTATGATATGGGGAGTAAGAGGCTACGATGCATTGTCTCATAGAACAGCAGTTCTCAACTGAATCGGGTTGATTTTTTTCCTCTTTTTCTGTGTGCTGGGAGAGGGAAATAGTCTGGCTGCTTTTTTTTTTTTTTTTTACACTAAAATTCACCATATTTTCTTGAAAACAAATGTGTTTTTAGTGGCATTGTTTTTAACAAATCATTTCGTAAGTAGCTGTATTCTTGACCTTCATCATACTGTGACCCACATCCCATTTGGCAACATAGGAAGGACAGAGAGGTCACACACATCCAACATTGGCCTTAAGAGTATAATATAATATTTTAATAATGGAGAACAGTAAGAACATTTTAGATGACTTGACAGTGTCCCCCTTTTTAAAACTGGCCATTGTTTTTTTATGAAGAGTTCTAAAACTAGAAATCAAAACTTGAGTATCTGCAAAATGACAGCCATGAGTCAAAGTAATAGTAACCAATGTGAAAGAAAACAGAAAATAAAGTGGTATTGATTTAGAAATAGCCCTATTATTCTTAACTTTCCATTTTGGCAACTAAGCTTTCTAGATGCTTTCACAGCACACCTATGAGGTTAAGAAATCATTGGTGTTTTTAAACTTACATATGCAGTAATGCTCACATTGTAAAAAAGAAGTGAAGAAACAAAGAACTTTAAGTAGGCATTTTCATTCTGTTCATAGCAATTATTCTTGCTGTCAGTAGGTGTAAAATGTAATACCACAGGAAAGTGCCAGGAGCCAAATGTATTCCAACACAAAACAACGTACAATACATGCAAATTAAACATTGCTTGAAAATAGTTCCCGGTAGCTACTGGCCTACAGAAACTTACCAGAAACCATAGGCTGTACAACTGCAGAACCTGTTTTTGGTAGTCATCTTTAACTAGACCCCCACAACTGTGAGCTTCAGATCTTTTGCTGATATTTGCTGTGATGGTGGGGAGCAGACAGAGAGATGGCCTTTGAGGCAGCTGAAAAGGAAATTCAAATGTACTTACAATAGTGAAGAGCAACCACATTTATTATCTGCCTAACAAAAAATTATTGGGATCCATCATAGAACAGTGGTGAAGAGTCTTATTAATTTATTCCCTGTTTATTGACGAGATGGCTGCTACATTGGTTTTAATTACTTAAACAGTGCCCAAAACAAGTGATAGAATTTGTCTCTATCATTATAATAAATAAAATAAGCGTTCTAAAGTATGGTCTACTTAGGATCTTGCAACTGATAGCACATGCCAAAACAGCAGCCTGTCGTGTACAATTAGTAGCAAGATCAAGGCTTGAGTGTACAAGTCAATTTCAAAATGTCTTAGATTTGAGTGGCTGGCTAATTTGGAGGTAAAAACAATAATATGTATTTAAAATCATTTTGGTTTAAAAGCTCCTCTCCTCTTCCATTTGAGCTGATGGGAAATAAAAGGAAAAGATGACACATAAAAGGAATTTTTAAATGTTTTTTCAATTTATTTTCTCTCAAGAAAAGCTTCTTTTGTTACCGCCATGTCTAATCTGCACTAAGCAAAACATATAAAATATATAGTATTTCTACATCAGTTCCACTTCCCTCAAACACTCTGGACTGGTGAAGTTCATTGTGAAGGGGACGCACTCGGAAGCATATTTGTTCCCACTTCCTCACTTTGCCCTTTATTGTGGGCAATGTTAAGAATTTAGAACATTTTCTTCTTAAAAAAAGTATGTTATAACCTGAATTTTTTCCTGCTGTCCCACACAAAAGAAACCTTTGAAGTACAATAATAGGAGAAAATACATTTTTGCTTATTATGTTCACCTTTTTCCAGAAACGATTACAAGTCAGGGGAGGGGAAAAAACAGTAGAGGGCACTAACAGGCTGCTCTGAGTGTGCAACAGAACACTACTCATGCTGAATCAATGCTAAATAGATGAGAGGATCTTGTTCATTCCCCCCACCCCCGCTCCCTATTTGACTTTTGCAAATGAGAGAAGGGTAAGAGATGGGGATGGGTTATGAGATTTCAATACACATCACTGTGCAAAGTCAAGTTTAGCAGGAGAAAGCACAGGTAAATCTCAACCTAAGTGAAGTCAGTATTAGAAAAAAAAATTAGCTCTCTGCTACATATCAAGTTATTAAATTAACTGAGGTCATAAAGTTAGGTGGTTTATATTTGACTTAATCACATACAATTCTATTAATTAATTAATGGCAGTTTTCTTGTTATGCTATAAAAGAGTAGTAATCCTCAGTACTAAGTAATGCTTGGAAAAAATGGGCATGTCAATGATCAGACTTGGCTGCTGCTGCTTCCTGCAGTCCCCTTTGGCCTGAAGCGGCGAACCGTGGCCAGTGGAAGCTGTGATCGGCCGAACCTGCGGACGTGGTCCCCTGGCAGGCCGTGGGCCAAAGTTTGCAAATCCCTGGATCGGAGCATGTGGAGCCAAAGGAAAAGTCTTATATGGGATATCATGCCATCCAATCGTCACCCTTCTTGGCAATCTCATCAGAGAAATCAAGGAATGAATATACATGGAGATCTCACAGCGATGCTTTAAAGTCTAGGTTAAAAAAAAAACCACTGATAGAAGAAAGTGGTTATTTCTATTGACCATGCTATAGATTTTATGTGAATCTGGAACTTTCATTTTCCAATGTAGCAAGTTTATTAATTTTAAAAGAGCAGAGATAGGATGGAGGAAGAGTTGATTCCATAACCCAACACTATTTCTTGTATTTAAGCCATCTTGATTTTTGATAGCCATCAACTGCCATAGGTTGTAGAAAGATCCACAGCCAGGTGCTCCAGGAGGACTGTGATGTTATCTTTATTATTGTTCCAGCTGACCTAGCTCTTTGTTGTCATTAAGTTGTCCAATCAAATGAGACCTTTTTTAATGGTTTGTGATTTAGCCAAGAAGAGATCATGGATTTTACATGTCTGTTTATTTGCAATTGTTCAGCTAACAGTTTGTGCAAATGATGTTAGGACTGTTTGTGAACTGCTCGCTGTGATCTTTCGCTACATAATTGGCCAGCTCGGTCACACTGTATACCTTCTGGTCCTTGATAGGATCAACTAAACTTTAAAAACTGGAAGAATTCTCTTTGCTGTTTGTAAAAGTTATCAGTGAACATACATAGGCATTAGACAAAATTATTGTGCAAATACTAGAGATCTTCTCAAAATGGCAAAGGGATGTTGTTGTTTTTCCAGGGCACCTTTTCTGCATGTGGTCTCCCAACACATTCATTCCTTAGTTCCTCTGCTGAGATTTGCAAGAAGGGTGCTAATCAAATGGCATGATATCCCAGGTAAGTCTTTTCCTTCACCTACTCTGATCACTGCCATGCTCATTTTCTCAATTAAGAGAATGTTTACTTGAACTGATATTTGAGACTTTTTTTGCTTCCTGAAGACAGTCTTGCAAACAACTTCCCCTTACCTGAATATTCATGAATACTAGTAAAGTGAACTAAAAAGAATGTTCAAATTCTGTATTTTACTCAGAGTTAGAAATGGTGTGAGGATTGTTACATTATGTTACATCATTTCTAAGTTTTGCTGAGATACAGACAGCTACGACAAATTCTTCACATGCCAATGACGCAGAGGATATTTCCTTCCCTCCCTGCCTCATTTAAGGTCTTTTACTCTCACTGTAGTATCTCAGTTTGACAAGTTTCTGTTAGCTACTCCTATTGATTATAGAACCAATCACCATCCTGCAAACACACACTCTGTGTAAGCATATCTCTACTCATGAGAGTTAGTCATATTGATTTCAAGAGGGACTATTCAGGTGATTATGTAGATGTGCAGTGTTTGTAGAATAGATGCCTTAAAATACACAGTTCAGAAATTTCCAAACAGATAAAATATACTAAATAAGTCACCACCTGCCTGATTCCCATAGATGAGTTCTATGCTCCACTGATTTCCCAAGGTGGATATGATAACTGCAGAGAATGCTGGGGCCATCACACTGAAAGGAAGGCAGTGATCCATGCCTTTGTTGTAGCTAAAAGAATGAACAAAATAACAAAAGAAAGAAAGAAATAGTTTCAAGTCTGAGTGTCTCTTGCACTGTTGACAGTGTATTTGGTGCATTCTGTATATTATTCTAGAGTTAATGGAGTTTTCTGAATCCTATTTGCAAATCATCTTTATGAGAGAGAGACTACAGGACCCTGAGTGTAGTTAGATGACTAGGACAAACCAATATGGCATACAGACAGCATTTTAATGCTTGGATTTCACGCTTTCTGAAGCTCCTAGACACCTGCTGGTGGTTCAGCATTTTAAAACAGAAAGGAAAAAATGTATTTTTTTTTCTGGCAAGTGGTTACTGCTGCTGTTCACCTGGGTAGCAATTTGTCCATTTGCATCAGTAGATAATTAACTTGGGGAAATGGCTTCCTCAGTGTTCTCTCCCCTTGATATTCAAAGCAAAACATTTAATTTTAAATTGCAAAACAGCAACGACGACTGTGGTGGGGACAATTATGATACCCTATACAGTTAAACTCTGTTTATATTAAAGAAGAATGATTGGGCCACATTCATCACCATGGTAGCCGAAGGAGCAGGGAAGTAGAGGAGAAAAGTCTACAACAAATTCTGCATAGTTTAGAGAATAAGGACAGTGCCACATTCTCTCCCCGATAAGCTGGACTAACAGAGACACGCAAAAGCCAAAGGATGCATCTCAGAGCTGTGAACTCAAGGATCTGCAGAGAAATTGGGTACCAATCACACTAATCTTGGAGCATCCAGGTAGAGTATCTGTCCTTCTGCACTGGTGGTTGGGATTCCCTCCAAGACTTTTTCCACTTGGCTTATCCAGAACATCTTGTCCAGTTCTGGGAGAACACTTCATCCTGTTCTCTGGGACCCAAAATACTCAGCTTGACTCCAGAACATCATTCAGATTACTTTATTAGCCACGTAAGACCTCTTTGCCCATGCTGGCCAGGCCCATACACAAAGGGATTGGGTACAGGGTGATACCACAATTCCAATCCATGTCACACATTTATACACATCTTTCCTAGCTACAAACATCTATGCTTTGCAGATTGGGTACAGCAAACTTATCAGTGAAGAGTGTTTGTGATTACTTTGTTTACACTAAGGACGCCTACAATAGTTGAGCTAGTTTCTGCCTCCCTTAGTTACTATGAACATTTTCACAATAGTTAGTTGTTTCAGCAATTACTTGTTTAGGTTAGTTCATTAGTTACTTGTTCAGGCATGTCCTGTCTTAACTTTGCCCTGCTCATGTTAGTTAAGCCAGCCTTACATTGATCTCCAGACCCCTCTCTTCACTGGCAGCACGATTTATGAATTAGCTATACACCCGACTCCCCCAGTATGTCTATACATTATTTCCGACCTCGAAGGGAGGCAGAAGCTTCAAGGAAGGGGTCAGTTTCTGCATCTAGTAACTAACAAGTTTGCCCCATCAATTAGAATGTGTTGGGGAAGGATGCTGGCCAGCTTTTCCCCTAAAATCACTCATATTACGGTGCTGATTGCCAAAGGAGAGTATGCCAGAGGTTAGTAAGGCAGAAGGATGCCATGCTGTGACCCATTCCAGGTACAATCTATGGCCTCATTTTGGCATGACTGAAGAGTTTTTCTCTGTTCCCTCCATATCATAAAGCCAATATAATGGCTCTGGTTTTGAATGAAACAGTTGTACAATAAAAATCACATGTGTATTTATCCTCTGCCCCTGCTAATTACATTTATGTTTTATATTTTCTACTCATTTCTATTTGTGCTACTAACTCCAAGCTTACGCAAATCAATGGGAGCTTTTCCATTGTGTCTTATATGCCCTATATCACTATACAATCTGAAAACCTGCCAAATATTTTAAAAAATAAATAATCTTTCTTCTGAAGCTATAGGAGACATAGCTTGTTTAGTTTATTCAGCTTTATTTTTTTGTCTGCATGCATATAGTTTATTGAAG